TAGGAGCAAGGACGCTACTAGGGGCTCCTGGCATCGCTACTAGGAGCAAGAACGCTACTAGGAGCAAAGGGCATCGCTACTAGGAGCAAGGACGCTACTAGGGGCTCCTGGCCTTACTACTAGTAACAAGAAGCTACTAGGAACAAAGGGCATCGCTACTAGGAGCAAGAACGCTACTACCATTATGCACCGTTCATATCAGCAGGTTGATTAATGTTTGTGCCTTGGCCTCCGCTCCCGCTGATGTGTTCAAAGCTGACAGTTCTCTTCACATCTTGACAGCCTGGCAAGTATGCCGAAGATGACGGGACTCAGATTCCACGACAACTTTAGCTGCAGAAGTTTCGGAGTCTGTTGAAGCTAGGGTTTGTCATGCCCTGCTATGGATCCGAAGAGACTTGCTCAAGTCGTCGCTGATTTCTTCAAAAAGGAGCGGCGATGCATTGTTTGCTTCGTGATGTAGCTCGGATATGAAGACTGCTTTTCCGAAGCGGTGGACTGTTCCGCCTCTCGCCAGCATTCTTTGAGACTGAATCGGGTAGTCCCAAATCAACTTGGAGAATCTTCAAGCCACGAAGGAGGGAGCTGGGGGAAGACAATCGGAGAAAAGCATAAATAGTACTGTTATAAACGGACATGTGTCTTGGATTTTCCATAAACTGCTCGAGTTCTGCTGAATTGGACGAACGCAGGAGCGAGCTCTTGTTCCTGAAGGCCTGCACGGTCCAGAATCACCGTAACGAGAAGCCGCGTACACAACGAACGCATGCAGAGCCGTCAGAGTCGGAGCCGCCCCCACTGCAGGGTTTAAGTGCATTGAGGCCCTGTGTTTGGGTTGATTTTGTTTGTTAGTTTTCTTGTGTACATTGCGGCTACAGACATTGGTCTAAGGCAAGCGCAGTAAAAAAAAACGTCTTGTGTACATTTTTCCGAACAAAGTATGCAGTCCTCAGTGACCACCCCAAGGTCTTATGGATTCCTATCGAGAGAGAGAGAGAGAGAGACAGAGAACAAGAGTCGTGCACCAACTTGTCTCAACAATAGTTGTGTTTCACAACGAAAGGATATTTGGAGGCCATCAGTAGGTTGGAGGCCATTGCTTGTAGGATGGAGGCCATCACAAAGGATCTCACAGAGCCGCAGTACTCGTAGTTCGCAACTCCAACTACTTCTGCCACAGCCGAACGTGCCACACCTTTTGCAGTTCTCCCCAGACCCAACATGCCTACAGCTAGAAACGTTGGCTCTTTTTTTCTGACAACAAAGGGAGAGAGTTGCTACAAAACCTTTCAGGAGGCATCGTGCTCACATGCACCCATCTGAATGTTTATCTTCCTTCCTGTCCAGCCATTGTCAGATTAAACTGTCCATTCTTTCTTCACCCGCCCTTGTCCCTCCCTCAAGGGTACGGTATGTCCCAAGGTTTCTGTCGCGGCCTGGTTATTGCACTGTTTCTCCCAGTGCCACCCTTCAAGGTCCACTTCTGGTGTGATGGCTATCATTATCTACTCAAAACTGTTGTAGTGGTGTCCCGCTCACTTATGTTTTGGTGTTGTTTTGTGAGAAAGCAGCCAGCGCGTGCACACCCAAGCACAAGAGCAGGCATGCTCTTTTCTTTTCAGTCCTGATGAAATGTCGTGGAGTTGATTCTGGAGTCCTTTGCTAAATGTGTTTGCTTTCTTCGACCTGGTGGATGTGCAGTGTCCTGCCCTCAGTGATGTGACGGCGTGCTGTAGGAACGAGTTTTCTCAAGTTCATCCATAACGAGTTCCTGTTGGACAGATTTGTCAGCTCCTTTGTACAGAGTGTTATTTCTTTTTCCGTTTCCTTCTGCGAGATTCAAGACTTAAAGTGGCTAGTAGTAACAAGTGCATCGCTAGTAGTAACAAGTGCCTTACTGCTAGTAGTAACAAGTAGCTACTTGTTTCAGTCTGGAGTCGAGTGCCCCTTGGGCCCTTGGGGGATACCAGACTTAGTTGAAGTAGTTACGTTGTCACTTGTTTTTGTCTCGAAATCGGCTGCCACCTTCCAACCGAAAAGGGCTGCCTATCAGTGGACTGTTGATGAGACACGCTCAGACGACATCAAGTTGTTTCATGTGCCCCCGCAGAAAGGGTACAACGCACCTTGAGTGTTTGCTTCATTACTTGGATAGTTAACCACCTGAAAGTTGGGATCTCAATGTCAGACTCAACTTTTGGTTTCAGAGTTTCAATCGCGTTCAAAGCAACTTGATTCTCATCTCTCCCGAAATCCACAGCATGGTACACCTCTCGGAGCATTTCTTCAGCTCCGCATGAAGGTCCCCCGTCGCCGCGACGCCAGGAAGGGACTGAAGGGACGACCACCACATCGACGAGTCGCCTCAGCTTGCTCAGCTTGCAGCTGGGAGGAAGTTCCAGAGCCTAGTCTTCACAAGTCATACGGACCATATATTTTATGTACAGCCAATGAAGACCGCTGCTTGCGTGAGATATTGTTCTTGGCTGGCCGTCGGCTTGTGCAAGTAGCGTCGCTCAGAACGCCCCCGATGGCCTCGGGAGCGGCCATTTCTTGGAAGAACACAGCATGTTTCAAGAGAACATGGTCGTTGTGCCGGGAAGGAAGAAACAAAGAAACGCAGAAAGAAAAGAACAAAGAGCTGAAGGAACAAAGAGATGAAGGACTGAAGGAAAGAACAAAGAGATAAAGGAAAGAGGAGGGTGTAAAGGTCTTGGAGAAGTTGAACTAGATGCCCAAACTCAGATTGCAACCTTATTCCCAACAACGTCGGCTTCCCTGATCCAAGAATTGAAGTTGACGCAAGTTGAGCTTTTGCTTAGGAAGGACATGCGGTTGAAAGATGATGCTGGTTTTGCATAGGCGAGGAGCAGCTTTCTTGCAATGAAAGATTGGGGACGAGGTCGGAAGTCGTTCTTGAACAAGAGCATAAATGCCCATTTGGACGAATCTAGAGCGCGATTATGGGGGGATGTCGATTGAGCGTCGCTTTTGAATGTGACTCGCTATGGTCGTTTTTTGTTTTCTTCGGACACGCTTTTGGCCAGGGCCCACTGCGTCACTGAACTCACGAGACAGGTCATTCTGTCCCAAATCTGCGACAGACTCCTGCTCGCTCCTGCTCGCTCCCAGCGTTTGGCTCGCGTGTGAAGCACCATCGGCGCAGCCTCGCGCCTCGCGCCTCGTCATGGACAGGTCCGAAGCGGATGATGCCTCAGAGGTCGAAGAGCGCAAGACGGACCCGGCGGAAATCATTCGCGCGGAGACGGATTGGATCAACGACATCGAGGATGAGATGGGCAGTGACGTCGCCGAGAAGAACAAAGCACTTGAGGTCTTCAATGAGAGTCATGCCTTTGGTGAGTCGATGGGTCTTTTGCAGTTGTCTCAACCGGAAATCGTTGTTCTACGAAAATCCTTTGAATTGTTGACGGCTGCTCTTGGAACCGACAAGGAGATGGTAGGTGATTTGGCTCGATTAGAGAGACTCAAGTAGGTGAGTAGAGGCTGGATGAGGCTGGGCCGGCTGGCCATGGAAGAGGTTACTAGACGAGGTCCTCCACACACATTGAACTTTTCTTGGAGCCAGCCCCTTTCTATATTTAGACGAACCTTTTACCCTGGTAGGGCATTCAAGCTGGATGCCCCATTGCTGAGTCAAACCCAACATCCACTTCAGCAAAGCCGCAGTAGACGCAAACGCAAACCATTCAATTAGTGACTGGAGCTGCTGAATCAATGTTGAGTGTGTCCAACCGCTTCAGCAAATTTGGGCTGGCTGAACCACAAAAGGAGTTAGTTTTGACCAGGTTGTTCTGTTTTTCTTGATAGTGATATTCTTCATGTATGTCGTTTGTGTTTTTCCATCGGATTCTGACAGCGGAGATGCTCAGGTGATGCTATCTATGGGGTTCTTCTTGGAGCCCTGGTGGCCATCAAGGACAAATTCTCGACACCACGCTCTGTCATGTCCATGCGCATGTACAATAGCTTTCGATGGATGGTGGACAAGTGTGATGATCAAGAGCTCTTGAAGAGTTGCTCAGTGCTGTTTCAAAAGCATCAACAAAAACAGCACTCCTCTTAATTATGTCGCTCCTGGAAAACGATTGGGTGTTTCCAACATAAAATACATAAAACTGTTTTCTCACAACTTCGTGGTGTCACGAAACTTGCAAACAGATAAGGGTTTGTTTGATGGTTAAAGCAGAAGCAAGATGAAGCAAGGATGTCAAAGATGAGAAATAAAGAGCGACAAACATGTGCTGAGGTTATGTCGAGGGCTTGGCCTTCAAACATTTGGGCATCGACGTCACGGAAGCTCGTGTGGACTCCTTCAAGGATGCCTTCTCCGAACTACTTCAGCAGAATGTGCCCGAAGCCCCACCCGGCAGTGTGGCTGCATGGCGTCAACTTCTAAGCTACACGGGGTCCTCCTACAGTTTTGTCAGTGCCAGCTATGGAGAACGGCTTCGTGTGATTCATGAGGATTGGAATTCAGTTCAGACCAATGCAGAGGACGAGGATGAGACCGTTGTACGAAGCTTCCCCAAGATGTGTGCCTTCAGCAATGAAGTCATGGGACAAGAGACGGAGGCTTGGATGGAAGAGCTCCTACAAGTTTTTGAAGTCTTAGTGGAGAAGATTTCCAGCCCCTCATTGTTGCAAGAAGAGTGCGAACTGTTGGCAATCAGCATGATCACCAAGTCCAAAGATATCGATTTTGAGAGGTTTAAGCCTGTGATGATGGCTGCCCTCCGGTCTTTGCTCCCTAAGACCTGGAGCACAGCCCATGAGACAGCTTGGGAATGGTTATGGGCCACGATCTCCCAGAATCTCCAGGAGGCAACCATGAAAGCTCGAGCTTTCAAACCTTACAACGCACATCTCTTCTCGGTCTTAGGGGAAGAGCAGTTGGAGCACTTCCGGAATACCATCTACGTTGATTTCTTTTCCAAGTGCGCTGCCTCTCAAGACCTCTTCAAACAATCTCAAACGCGCTTGCGGTATATTGCCGATCGAGTCTTGCAGAGCTCCTACGACATGTTCCACAAGCCCAAGGAGAGAAAAATACATCATAGAAACAAGGTTCGCTACTAGTAACAAGTGCATCGCTTCTAGTAACACGTGCCTTACTAGTAGTAACAAGGTTCACTACTAGAAACAAGTGCCTTACTAAGAGCAACAAGTGCCTTACTAGTAGTAACAAGGTTCGCTACTAGTAACAAGTGCATCGCTTCTAGTAACAAGTGCCTTACTAGTAGTAACAATGTTCGCTACTAGTAACAAGTGCATCGCTTCTAGTAACAAGTGCCTTACTAGTAGTAACAAGAAGCTAGTAGAAACAATGTTCGCTACTAGTAACAAGGGCATCGCTTCTAGTAACAAGTGCCTTACTAGTAGTAACAAGGTTCGCCACTAGTAACAAGTTCATTGTTTCTAGTAACAAGTGCCTTACTAGTAGTAACAAGGTTCGCTACTAGTAACAAGTGCATCGCTTCTGGTAACAAGGGCATCGCTTCTAGTAACAAGTGCCTTACTAGTAGTAACAAGGTTCGCCACTAGTAACAAGTGCATCGTTTCTAGTAACAAGTGCCTTACTAGTAGTAACAGGGTTCGCTACTAGTAACAAGTGCATCGCTTCTAGTAACAAGTGCCTTACTAGTAGTAACAAGAAGCTAGCAGAAACAATGTTCGCTACTAGTAACAAGTGCATCGCTTCTAGTAACAAGTGCCTTACTAGTAGTAACCAGAGCTTGTAGAAACAATGTTCGCTACTAGTAACAAGTGCATCGCTTATAGTGACAAGTGCCTTACTAGTTGCAACAAGGTTCGCTACTAGTAACAAGTGCATCGCTTCTAGTAACAAGTTCCTTACTAGTAGTAACAAGAAGCTAGTAGAAACAATGTTCGCTACTAGTAACAAGTACATCGCTTCTAGTAACAAGTGCCTTACTAGTAGTAACAAGAAGCTTGTAGAAGCAATGTTCGCTACTAGTAACAAGTGCATCGCTTCTAGTAACAAGTGCCTTACTAGTAGTAACAATGTTCGCTACTAGTAACAAGTGCATCGCTTCTAGTAACAAGTGCCTTACTAGTAGTAACAAGAAGCTAGTAGAAACAATGTTTGCTACCAGTAACAAGTGCCTCGCTTCTAGTGACAAGTGCCTTACTAGTAGTAACAAGAGGCTAGTAGAAACACTGTTCGCTACTAGTAACAAGTGCATCGCTTCTAGAAACAAGTGCCTTACTAGTAGTAACAAGAAGCTAGTAGAAACAATGTTCGCTACTAGTAACAAGTGCATCGCTTCTGGTAACCAGTAGTAACAAGAAGCTAGTAGAAACAATGTTCGCTACTAGTAACAAGTGCATCGCTTCTAGTAACAAGTGCCTTACTAGTAGTAACAAGTGCCTTACTAGTAGTAACAAGAAGCTAGTAGAAACAATGTTCGCTACTAGTAACAAGTGCATCGCTTCTAGTAACAAGTGCCTTGCTAGTAGTAACAAGAAGCTAGTAGAAACAATGTTCGCTACTAGTAACAAGTGCATCGCTTCTAGTAACAAGTGCCTTACTAGTAGTAACAAGAAGCTA